TGTGTGTGTGTGTGTGTGTGTGTGTGTGTGTGTGTGTGTGTGTGTGTGTGTGTGTGTGTGTGTGTGTACGCGTGTGTTAGTCACCGTGGGCGAGGCACCTGTGACCTCTTTTCCTGACCTATATACGAAGTTGCCGACTACCGCGGTACCGCGACAATTGCCCCTCCCGTTCCATTTCCTTCCGCGTTTCGGCTCTCGCGAGAAACCACCACTAAACCGAGCCTTTTTTTTCCATCTCGCGCTTTTTTTCGCTTTCGCTCGACTCCGGATACTTGCCCGAGGTAATCTCTCGAAGAGATAGATTCCCACGACATGATTGCGTTTGCGTTTCCTCGTTACTTTGTCCCCCGAAATGCGTGTTTCGATATTTCCACAAGAGCATATCGATTCGCCGTGGCTCGATCTCAACTTCCCTCATCGGCAGCGGCATTGCTTCTACGATGCTCGCGAGTAATAGTCGTCGTTGCCCTCGTCGTCGTCCCGAAACGGCACATATCCCGCTCGTTACGTCGGGCAGACACTCGGTGTATCATTTATCTCGGCTCGTCGCGTCCTCTCCGCTCTTTCGATCTCACCAGACCGTCCGGATTTCGGATTTCGGAATAAGAATAAAATGCCTTCTCTCTCTCTCTCTCTCTCTCTCTCTCTCTCTCTCTCTCTCTCTCTCTCCTTCCCTCTTTTTTCTTCCTTCTCTCTTCGGACTAATGGATCTCTCTTCGCGCAAAGATCCTTTAGGCGCGTAGACCAAAAACCGTGTCTGCTAGCGGAGAGAGCTCATCGTGGAATCGATGAGCGTGCATGGTGGTGGTGGTGACGGTGGTGGTAGTGGCGACCGAGCAAAGAGAAAAGTAGTACGAGTGTTTGAGGTAGAGTTTCTTTCAACCACGCATCGGTTATCCTTGCGTTTGGACAGAGTTCCTTTTCGTGTCGACGGAGTAAAGTTACATTCGTGTGATTCGGGAAAAATAGTTTCCGCTTTCGCGAATCTTTGTACTTGCGTTTAATTGAGCATCGCGCGAGAGTACGCGCAAACTTTCCTTTCGAGTATCTTTATCGAGAATCTTTATCGAGAAGCGAACGAGATATCAGCGCGATAGTAGCGGGAATGTAGGAGAGAAAGGGGGGGGGAGAGAGAGAGAGCGAGAGAGAGAGAGAGAGAGAGAGAGAGAGAAATAGAGAGGGGGAAGGAAGGTAGAAAGGAAGGAAGGAAGGAAGGAAGGAAGGAAGGAAGGAAGGAAGGAAAGAAAGAGAGAGAAACTAAAACGAGCGGAATTGGGCCACGGAGGCGGGTGATGGGTGTCGCGGAACGGAATGTATCCGACGAGTGCCAGGAATCGAGCCGTACGGGAAAGGAATACGGCTATCAATCGGTAAATAATTAACGTCTCGGTAAGTCTCTCGATTCGAGCGTGTTCGATCGCTCTTTGCGCGATCAAGCGATATCTCGGAAAATCGCGACTCTCGCGGTTTATTATACTATACTCGACTCTTTGTGCTTATGAGCGTTCGGTGTCTCACCCCTTTTCCCGACCTGCTAAATCCGATTATCGTTAAACGCATAACATCCTATAATCTATGACATAGTAACGGGATATATAGATATTCGCACACGACGACGAGTTATGCGTATATATACGCGAATCTTCGCAACACTGGCACGCGTATATTCCTTTATGTTTGTATATTTATGTGTGTGTGTGTGTATATATATATATATATATCATATATATATATACGTACATGTGTACACGCGAGCGCACCCTTGTATGCGTATGTATACGTATATACACGAGAGTTATCTCGCATGGAACACAATGGTACCAAAGGTAGATAAAGCGAGAACGGAACCGAAAGTAGTCGTAACGCGTGGTTAATTCGTTCGTTTCATTGCTGGCGAGAACACGCACGATTATCGCTTATTCTCTCGATCACGGATACGTTCGTTTTCTTTCATCTTCGGCTTCGTTCCACGACAATCGAATGGTTGTAGGGCGCGCGCGCGTGCGGGGTCAAAAACTATTCGCGTTTATGCGAAACGCGATGCTCGATTGCGCGGTTTACGGATAACGACTACAACGTGGTCACTTAACGCGAAACGCGGTCGCTGGACGAGCGTTCTTCGAGAGGTTCTCCACGAAGAGGTTCTTCCGGATTAAATCGTCGTCGAACGGAAGTGTTCGAGACGACCCAGTCGATTCAGAATCGTAATCGCAACGACGTGCGAGATCGGTAGAGAGGTAGCTGCGGTCGACCACGATTTCCGATACTGATTCGAAGGAGAAGAAAATTCAGTATTCGAATCTGCCGCCCATTCCGAACCGAACGATCGAACACGTTTCGGATTTAAACGCGTGTTATGGCGTGTCGCGTTCGTGGAACGGGCAGCAGCAATGATCTCGTTCGGTTCAAGACGTTTCCACATGCCGTAGCGCGATACGTCGTCCGAAGCGACTCGCCTATACGATCCGCTTTTCTCCTCCACCTCCTCCTCTTTCTCCTCTTTCTCTTCCTCCGTTTCTCGTCCAACCAATTCCTCCTTCGTTTCTGCTCCTTTTCGATCTTTCTTCTCGCCTGCCTCGTCCCTTCGACACGAGCCACCTCTTCTTTCTTTTCCCTTTTCCTCCTTCTCTTTCTCCTTCCGGTCTCTCTTCGCGTATCCTGTCGTGGAACGTCGGGATTTCGCCGTTAGATGCTGGAATGTCGAACGCGCACGCCACGAGTAACACCGACGACAACGACGACGACGACAAAGTCGAGAGAGAAGATAGTCAGAAACGCGGTCGAAGAGTTGCGGGACACGAGCGGAACTACGATTCGTCCGTTCCCGAACCGTCGGAAGGATCGTCCATACTCGCGTTGCCTCGCGTGCACGCTCCCGCTTCGTGAAAATCAACCGGCAATGGTCGGGGTAGAACTGTCGCGCCCGAGCCGCAGCAGCCCGCAACACACGACCCGACCGATTCTCTCTTCTCCTTCTCGACCACCTCCCTCGTCCCTCGCAAACCCCTCGCAAACCCCTCGCAAACCCCCCTGCAAACCCCTCGCAAAACCCTCGTACCCCCTCTAGCCCGCCAACCTTACGCCCTCTCTTCTCCCTTCTCTCTTCTCCTCTCCTTTCCTTTTCTCACTGTTCCGCGCTACTCTTCGTCTCTCCTTGTTTCTCTTCGCCTTTCCCCGTCACGCCGCGCCGCCCCTCGTCAATCTTCTACGCTTTCCAACACCACCCTACTCTTTTCACCTCACCACCCTAGCTCTATGCTCTCGCTTTTCTCCTCACCTCCTGCCGCATCACCCTGCCACGTTTCACCTCGTCTCTCCATTCCGCCGATCATTGCCATTCTCCTCATCCCTGTCTCTATACTGCCCTCTTTCTGCCTCTCTACACGGGCATGTATACATACGAAACGTGGGCTGCGGCGCGCGCGCACCTTCGAGGACGGAATCTCTTCCGTATCCGGTGAGAGGGCCCATCCCTACGTGTTTTCCGTTCTTCCACCTCCGTTGCAACTGACAACGATTCCGATCTGTCTGTCTGTCTGTCTGTCTCTGTCTCTCTCTCTTTCTCTCTCTCCCCGCCTCTTCCCCTTTCTTTCGCAGGGAAGAAGGTTCGTCGCTTCTCGAACGATCTTCGAGCCGACTCGTGGTAACTACCTCTCGTCCTCATTGTCGTGATCGTCGTAAATTCGACAGAGGTTACCCTTTCTGCTCTGCCAACGTAGCAGGCTCGAGCCAGCTCGAAAAAGATCGTCGGTGGAATGGACGAAAACACGATGGAAGCGCGAATCATCCGACTTGACCCGCGTTTCCATAAAAATGGGCGAGGCATTGCCCTTCCCTGAACTTTCAGCTTTGCCGGATGAGGTATCCCAGCCATCCGAATCCTGAAAGGAGAAGAGAGTGACCCGTTTTTCGTCTCGCTTCTCCGATTCGGATCGTTTGCCTTGCGCGATTCTCCCTCTTCGTTCTCGACACGATCGCATCCGAGTCGTTCCGAGATTTCACGAGGACCGTGCCATTTACGGGGGTGCGATACAGCGCAACCCCAGCTACGCGTCAAACTTTCTCTTCGCGTTTAGATGTATGCTTACTTGCATACGTATTTCCTTTGTTGCCTCCGATATATGCCACATCCAACCTATACGTGTATTTACGTTACACGAAGCGAGATCCGAGTTTTATACTTCCGGAGAATGTCTCTCTGCCGTCGTTGTCGTTGTCGTTGTCGTCGTCGTCGGTGAGGGATGTTTGCCACCCGACCGTCGAAGCAAAGAGAATTATCAACCGCGCTTCTCGTGGTTCGCGAGATGATTTTTCGATCGCTATGAGATATCGATCTATCGAATCGACGTGTTTCACGAATCTCTTTTAGGAATCTCTCTTTCGCTCGCGTCGACTTGGAAATATTTCTCTACAAAATATCGGTTGCTACTCGCGTCCCCTTTTCGCGATATTATTATTTCCCTATGTAGGTAAAGAGGTTATCGGTTCAAGGTCGAACTTGGTCATTCGTAGAATCCAGCGAGCACGTCCGTACCGACTCTTTCTCTCTTTTCATTCCAAATTCTCTCCTTTTCCCTCTCTCGCGCTCTCCAACAGTCTCGCTCTCTCGCTTTTAGTTGTATTAATTACACGGAAAATTTCTCGTTATTCGTTTGAAGGGATCCTTTGGGCCAAGTAGAAGCTTTATTCGTTCGATACGCTCAAAGTAGCTGCAGGGGTGGAGAAAGTCGATCGCGACCGTAGCGTGAAAGACGAAAAGACAGGAGGAGGTACCTTTTACCGTCGCGCGAAACGCTATGCGCCGCGTTCTCCCTGTTTGGTGGCCATTTTCGTTGGCGGGATGAGGGTAAATGTACGGTAATTCTTAGTCGGCGGTTCGATCGACGACCGATCGATCCAACGTAATTCCATAAAAATCTCGCGAATCTCGCAGCCGCGATAAGAGTCCGCGAACGGTCACGCGAATACGACGATTTCGCGATGGCGAAGAAGGGGAAGCGATGGCAAAGGAAGAGATTGGCGAACCCACGGATGAAATCGCGAAACTCGACGACGAAAACGAGAAACAGATGAATTCGGGTGAAAAATGGAAAGATCGGAACCGCGGTATCGACGGTTAAACCACACCCCGAGTGACGAGATTTGACCGGCCATTAGATGCGAACAGGGAAAGA